TAATAACCATGTACAACATTAACAAACATGTAAACTTAATAATAACCATGTACAACATTAACAAACATGTAAACTTAATAATAACCATGTACAACCTTAACAAACATGTAAACTTTAATAAGCCATGTACAACATTAACAAACATGTAAACTTTAATAAGCCATGTACAACATTAACAAACATGTAAACTTTAATAACCATGTACAACATTAACAAACATGTAAACTTTAATAAGCCATGTACAACATTAACAAACATGTAAACTTTAATAACCATGTACAACATTAACAAACATGTAAACTTTAATAACCATGTACAACATTAACAAACATGTAAACTTTAATAAGCCATGTACAACATTAACAAACATGTAAACTTTAATAAGCCATGTACAACATTAACAAACATGTAAACTTTAATAAGCCATGTACAACATTAACAAACATGTAAACTTTAATAAGCCATGTACAACATTAACAAACATGTAAACTTTAATAAGCCATGTACAACATTAACAAACATGTAAACTTTCACCACATACCCACTTCTAGTTCCAAATTTTATTTTACTTATCAACATTTGCAGCATAAATACTACATTTTGTATTTCATAAAAAATACACACAGGACTTCAATAAGGAACAGTGCACACATTATTTTGGGTTACTGCTTAACTAATGTAGAACTATTGGGTTACTACTTAACTAACAGAATTATTGGGTTACTGCTTAACTAACATAGAATTATTGGGTTACTACTTAAATTACATAAAATTATTGGGTTACTATTTAACTAACAGAATTATTGGGTTACTACTTAACCAACATGGAACTATTGGGTTACTACTTAACCAACATGGAATTATTGGGTTACTACTTAACCAACATGGAATTATTGGGTTACTACTTAACCAACATAGAACTATTGGGTTACTACTTAACCAACATAGAACTATTGGGTTACGGCTTAACCAACATGGAACTATTGGGTTACTGTTTAACTAATAATAAACCCTCCTGGTTTGGGAAATGATTAAAATGCAGTTCTCTTCCTTATTAATCCAGTGAATTTGAGGACATTCTAGCAAGGAACCATACATATACTGATGGGCAATCAACTGAGCACATAAAGAGCTAGAGGAAAGTAAAAGTAGCATACACATAACAACCAAATAGGATTTGTAATGAAAACTTTTGGAATCACAAGTTTTTGTTTTTTTATATACAAGACTGATACTTTAACCCTAATTAGTGTCCTGTCAGCATAGTGCACTGATAGACTTTTCTATTTAAAACTGATTATTTTGCCTTTATTAGGGTCCTATAAATATAATGAAACTGATAATTTTCAATATACAACATATAAAGTAACCCTAGTTAGGTTCCTGAATGTACAATGCAAATAAAATCTGTTTATATACAACTGATAAAGTAACCCTACTTAGGTTCCTGAATGTATAATGCAAATAAAATTTGTTTATATAAAACTGATAAAGTATCCCAAATTAGGGTTCTGTCAGTACAGATTAACTGATACAAATGGTATTGTACTAAAGAAATAATCTCATTAGTCACAAATCAACTACATACAAACAACAATACATGGCATGTACAAACAATTTTAATATCAAGTTTCTTTGACAAAACTACTGAATTGGGCTAACTGTTAATCACTCTTGAAAGACTTTTAAGAATGCTCACACTTACACGATTCCACTTCCATTCCCAACCGCTACCTCTGATGGTTCTTTTATCCTGTCGATCTTGAGAGGAACACCAGGATAGGCTTGACGAAGAACACGTGATGCACTATCAGCCATAGCATGAGCTACCTTACTTACAGAAAAAAACAACAAAATAAGGCACTCGGTAGTGAGGTGTCTCTGTTCCAATTATTCAAGTATTTTAGTTCATCTAGACGGAGCTCAAATAAAATTGTTTCTTGATTCAAGCCTACAGATTCAGAAAATATGGAAACGTGACCCTAAGTGACATGCATTTCTAGGCTAATAAGAGATCACAGCAACATCTACAAATGTCTATAAGATTGGTTATAAATCATTGCCTTATTTGATAGCTGATTGTTTCTATGAAGAACATGTTACAAAATCTAAATCTAAGTTAGATTTTAAATGCCAAAAGCCACAGAAATATTAGAAAACAAATAAATTTTAAATATTGTTATAAAATTCAATTTAAATGCAGATGTTTTTAGCACATTCCTCATAATTTGTCCATTGCAGTTGAAATGTTATTTTTATGCATCTGTGATTTTGAGCTGCAATGGACAAATTACAAGGACTGTGGAGAGAAAAAAAACATTTACAGTTACGTTGATTTTTATCTCTACTTCTGCTGCTTGTAATGTATTGAAAATCAATATCTAGAATTTAAAATTCTATACTTCAAAGGTTGTATTCTCTTACCTTTATTGGAAGAACACCAGCAACAAAAGACCGTCCTGAGAAATGAGTGACCTGGCCAGCTGTAACAATATCTACAGGCTGTAAAAAGGAGGCCACAGGAGATGTCTTTACAACAACTTCACCTCCACCCTTTGGATAATAACCTCTAGAAAAACACAGAAATATGAAAATATCTCTGCTTTATTCGTTCTGCACACTGAGAAAACAAAAGAAGCTTCAAATGCCAAATGGTCATTAAGACCCAGAAATGCATGATTATATGGAAGAATGGGCAAAAATTATTTCTAACAAAATTCAAAATATTGAGTTAGTAAACCGTAATTTTGGAAACACTTAAAGAAAGTACCATTGAAACCAAGTGGACCTTGAGCCCACAGTACAGCATGTGGTGTTTGACCTTGAGTCTACAGTACAGCACGTGGTGTTTGACCTTGAGCCCACAGTACAGCATGTGGTGTTTGACCTTGAGTCTACAGTACAGCACGTGGTGCTTGACCTTGAGCACATATTACAACGCAAGTTGTTTGACCTTAAGCCTTTACTACAGCATGTTGTGTTTCACCTTGAGCCCATGTGGTGTTTGACCTTCACACAATGTTACAACACGAGTGTTTAACCTTGAGCCCATAGTACAGCATGTGATGTTTGAGCTTTACACAATGTAACAGCATGAGTGTCTGACCTTTACACAATGTGACAGCATGAATGTTTGACCTTGAGCCCATAGTATATGTGGTGTTTGACCTTCACACAGTGTTACATTGTTTGAGATTTAACTGCTTATTACAGAAAAAAGGTTAGATAGTGAGAATATAGGTTTGAAACAACCCAGTTTTCAGGAACATTTCCAAAATTCTCAACTTATCTAAGTTAACCCTACCGAAATGGGTGAAAGGCCATGTCATCGAGTCTGTAGACTCACATTAAAAAATTTTATTGAACTACTATTTTATGAATGTATGTCAATAAGTTTGGTATCAAATTGTAGATTATAATTCAAATATTAGTATTGTACATTAGTTAACTTCTTAATTTAAAAGTAAATATTAACAAAGAAATCCTAAATATTGATTTTTGTGTATCATGTGGTATGTTGAATGTAGCATTGGTTC